ACTATGTCAACATTGTAGACTTACGAATTAAAGATATGAATAATCTTCTAATGACTTTGTGTTGTGCGCATCATTTGTATTTGTTCACATTTGATGACGTTATAGGCAGACAAACAGAATAATCAAGGTACTGGAATTATGTTTGAATCGATTCCAATATTAATTGATCAAAGAATTGTTCGTATCGTGCGTAGTTATGCTTCGTCTTGTAGTAGAATAATTACTTTGTTATATTCTACCAAATATAAGAATTTTTAACAATAATTGTAAGGAATGCTTGGTTCTTTTTTAATAGAAACATTCATAGTAATTTATACAAATTTTAAGTACTGAATCTATTCATGACGTTTTCTTATACGCACAAAAAACATTAAATTACATTAATATTAACAAGATATTTTTCAAAAATAGGTTATGTTCATCCAGTTGATGTATATAACTATTACTGCTTTCATATTTTATTCTATTTTAAAAATGTTCTCTTTTTAACTTAGAGCTTAGAAAGATAAAGTAGACGTCACTTTGATTGATTTTTGGAGCAATCCCGAAATATATTTTTGTTCCTCAATGTTTTAACAAAGCAATGGTGATTCTCTTCAGGTGACAGATCTGTCAAAAGAACTAAAATTATACAAATGATTAGCGAACAAATCCTATTTAACAGAAACGTTACTACAATTATATTAATAATTAATTAAAATTTTCGTCTTCTGAAGATTCATTTCTGGATTGCTCCGAAGTCAATGAAAAATATCTTTACTGTTTATTTTATTATATCTATTACTATTTTATAATATTAAACTGGGTTAACATATTCCTCATCAAATACAAATAACTGTTCGTTATATAATATTATACAGTTTAGTTTATTATACATATATAATTCATATAAAAATTGTTCACAACTTCATCAAGAAGAAATAATCAAAATGGTCAGCGAGACCATCAGAGAACTAATTAATTCGAATTTGCCTTCAATCAATGGTTTATTGATAGTAAGAATTTCGTTCAATCGATCACGGCTTTATTCGACTTAAACTGTTCCTCCTGATCTAAATTTTCGATCAATGAAAGGATTATTACGCCAATTTCCCATTTGGAAAACAATTGATCTTACGTAACGACGCGCGTGTCTATCAATCTTCACGTACGAGTACATCAAGTTCCGAACATTCGCGAAGGTGCTTCGCAAAATTAATAAACGTTCATTCGGCGGGCTTCCTCGCGCGCCTACATATGCATGTGCAGCTGCAGCGAGCGTCGTCCATTGACGCAGTTTCTTTGTATCCATTGGGCTTACTGATTCAAGGTCGGCGTTGAACAGGCCGCCTAAAATAACTCGGTTTCTTCAAACGGCAGCAATTAATATTTACATACTAAGGATATCGTCGTCGACGACCCCGTTAGTCGACGCGAAGCCAGGAATCGATTAATAGCTTTCCAAAAAAATTGAGAATTGCGTTACGTATTGTTGCGTGAATTTCGTTTCGATTATTTCTGAGAGGATGACGTTTGAACGGCAATGCATAGTTTCAGGGATGAGGCAGGAAGAAGGATATTACAAACGTTAGTCACCGTTTAGCGTAGCGTTAGTAACTGGATTATTAAATTGCATACAGTTGGAGGTATTGCACGTAACTGTATGAAGATCAAGGTGAAACGGAAGGGTCTATTTATAGAAGAAAAAAGAAAGAGCGAAGAACGGGATATATTTCTGTAACATTGGCAATATTGCGAAACTGTTGTCTTATCGTATGTACCTCCATAAGAATCACGACGAAATGTAATTTAGGGAGCTCTTTTTCTAGAAGTAGAAAAGATTGAAAAATAATTTATGTTTCTGTAACATTGGTAGTAGTGTTGCAATATTGCTGCAATATTGGGTGCTTTATAGTCGGTATTATATTCGATGCATTTCATTAATTTAGTGTATAATGATGTATCGCTTTATTTAGCTTCAGCATGTTTTTTTTTTTTTTTTTTTTTTTTTTTTTTTTTTTTTTTTTTTTTTTAATTCAGAGTTGCGCATCAAGTTCATTATAATTATATCGTGAATCATACTTCTTTATGACATGTGCTAATTAAGGAAAATATATGCAAAACGTATGCTGAATATATTTCATAAATCAGTGTAAAGGTAATAGTACGAGTATTTCATTTTGCATATATTCTGCATACGTTTAGGATGGATGTATTTATAATCACTTTTGTTTGTTACATCACTTTCGAATTGAAATTATTGCCAAATTGCTGAAATTTTCTCGTAAGAGAATTTCTAACAATGGATCATGTTTGAAATGTGGCACGTTAAAATATTGTTTATTGAACTGTCGATTATGTTTAGAATCCACTGCATGAATGAAAATATTTTGTGGTAATAGTTTATCCGTATCTTATTTAAATTCTTATTTTAACATAACAACAAGAGACATTTTAACATTTTAAGACATTTTAACGAGACAATACATAACTTTTATCGACAGTTCTTATGACATTTATCTTAAATGGATATCAACAGTCTGAACTCAACAGTTAAAGATATTTTAACTGAGGATATAAATTGAGCATACTTAGAGGATATTTTCTTTTTTAAAGTCAATACAACAAATCTATAATTGTTTGGTCCTGTTCTGTAGCATTCTTATCAAGCCATTAATTATGATTTTTATTCAATAGCACGTATAGAAAAGTTACATTTTTTTTTTTCCAGAAAAACCCTTTAGTAATGGTTCATTTACAGGAGAGGATAAAAAGATATCAAATAAAAGCAACGATTTAATTCTTCAAAAAGGAAATTTATACAAATGTTTTCACAAAAATTGTATTTCTCTAATAGTTAACACTGTTAAATGGATCTGAAGTAAACGTTCCCTAGCATTTCCTCTTGGAACTCGTAATCAGTAGTTACAACTCCAGTTCCTCGTTAACAGTCTTTCTCTGCTTACTGAGTTGATGGAGATAATTGCGTCGTCTCGTTACGACACTTTGTCTCGTGCACGTGCTATTTTCCTGAGGACGTCGAAACTCGATACCGAAGTACATATCAGCGGGTAATATATGTTGCTGGGTGTTATTGGAATTCTATAGCATAGCGTTTCCCAACGTATGCTCCACGGATCTCTGCGCAACGAGTTGGCCAAGCTTTATCCTGGCGGTGAAGAAAAATTTCTGATTTATTTGTAAGGATAAACACAAATGAATCCTCCAGTCGCTCACCCTGAAGCAAACAACATTGATCTTCTCCGTGGGTGAAGGACGTTGGCTGAAGAAGGATTCATCGAATCTATTTTTACACTTATGAATAAATCGGAAATTTTTATTCTCCGTTGGGTATAAAATTTTATCAACTTTACTCCACCGAGATTCCAACCTCGTGCAAAGTATCGGATATTTGATCATTATAGGAATAGTAGAAGGATGAAAATAAACAAAATTGCGTGGCTACTAAAATTTATATCGAGGCACCGATCAATGTTGCCAGAGAAATATGAAAGGAACCCTAACAATTTAACGATACAAAATTAATTGTTTGCTTATAAAGACTAATGAATATGATAATTTTTTTGATTGGCACAATCTTGAGACCATGTTATTGTTTCTATGTGTTATCAATGAAACTCTTGCGGGAGGCTGGTTCAAAACATAGCGTATAAATAAACCGTTAGTTTACCATTCAATGAGTGTTTGCTTGGGATCATTGGAACAGGATATCGCGAAGAGCAAAGTGTATCTAATAAACGCTACATACTTTTATAGACGAATGAATTGTGTCAATTCAGATAAGAACAGATCTATTTTCATTATAAAGTGGTGTCACATTCATCATAATTTATCATATATCGTATCCTTAAAAAGTTATGTTTTTAATACTTAGAAACAGCTATGAAATATATATTAAATTATTGCAGCTGTATACATATATTACAATTGTTATACAGGGTGCATTCGATAGTTTCATCTTTTTTTTTTTTCCTCTTTATAAATGGAAGTACGTTTTTCTTTTGCATTTTGAGCCATGATTTGTCACACTAATTTAGCTCACCCTGCATGCTACAAAATCCTTTGCTGTAAAATTTCTCCTATTTCTCCTTTCATTTTATTTGTTATCCTTTCAACCACCAAATATGGCTCCATTTGATTATTTTTCGAATACAGTAAATAATGCTCAAATTAACTCGAGCACAGCTGTTTCAGATATCTCCTCTGTTATTGTCGATATGAAAATACGATTAGCGTGAAGCTACACTGTTTTAAACGTCGAATGTGATAACAGCGAAAAAACGTTCAGCAAGGTTCATTCAAGATCATCGGTGTTTTGTTAAATATAGTACTGAATATTTTTAATCGCGAGCTGTTATAGACGGCACCGCGGCAAGTTTAACGACCTACGATAACATGACCTTGTTTACATCAAAAAGAAGTGACTCATCTTGCGTATAGGCTTACAGCATTTATTAACATAAACGTTTTCGACCTCGATGAGCATCCCATTCGGATCCTTTGTTTTTCAAAATACAAATTGAACTAGGATGCGACAGTAATAAATAAATTGATAGTCAACGTGAAGAATTATACTTATTATATATTTATTTATTACAGTTTACAGTGTTAACTCACAGTAACTTCAAATTATAATTCTAGTTTAAAATACAATTTGCATCATTTAGGAAATAATGGATAATTTGATATGTATTAATATTGTAGAAACAAATTCGAATCAAGCACGCTACATAATATCACGATTGCAACTCTTACTGTTTATTTTAATCCATAATGCGAGCCTTTACGGGATGAGCTGATTTTTAAACAAATTTTTGTTCAATTTTAATTGTAATTTCTTTTTTCTTGATGAGTACGCTTTTAATTAATGTTTATTCGTTTACATGAAACGTGAAACGTGATATGGGGGTCTGCGGGTACTATACAATTTCAGGTCACCTAGAATTATACATTTTTATCGCGATTGAGTTAGAATCATGAAAATAGTTTGCAAGGGGACAAATTAATTCAAGTAGAGTATGAGCACTGTCAAGAAATTGATTACATCGTTTTATTCAATGTGCATAGTGAATGCACGAGAGTATATTCCTCTGTTCAATCTTTCAGTTTTGTTACCATCTCTTATCTGAATTGAATAATGGATTGGCATACGTATAAAGACATTTTGAAAATTCAGACGCTGCTACTCGATCCTTTGAAGCGAATCCATCGTGATAATGTCTAGAAGCATAAAAACCAGTTGGTCTCTGAAATTTTATGCAACGAGGAAATCAATGTTCTGAAAAATTGCTCGATGTAAATCCCATGGTATAGAACATGTACGAGATTGGATAAAACGACAGCCCACGGTTATTTGATAATAAAAATAAATTACTCCAACAAATCACGAGGTAGTGGTCCCAAGGGACAATGACCTGCACGAACTTTGTCGATTTAATTTCGTTTAGATGCCAAGCTGTTATTAAATCATAGGGCTTTAATACTCAATTAACGTTACAACTTACTTAGAAGAGAACTTTGTACATTAGTATGTATTCATGGAGGTTAACATTTATTTTGTACATAATGTAACTAGATTTTGTAAGACAATTACTCAAATTTTCGCGCTGCGAGCGTAATCAGTGCGCGCATTTAGTATCGCTCTCTGGCCAAAAAGAACAATAGCGATTACAGTTACGGTTACGGTTACGATTACGATTACGACCGATTACGATTACAAATTACGAATATGTGTGTAGTGTTTATTTCTGTAAAAGAATGTATAAGTATTGTTCAACCGAACGAATTAAGAATTTATTAAGTACCCCGGAGCTTACAATTTATCAAAAGTCTTATCTGTTTGTTCAAATTAACCATGTTTCTAAACTTTAATCCTTTGCACTCGAAGAATTTCCTTAAAGCCCACTTTGTTGTTCCATTTCTGAAAAGTAAAAGTGCTCTTCTTCCTATAAAAATGTACAAGTGCTCATAATTTTATTCTTACATGTTCATTTCGCAAATGAAGTCTGCATTATCCTGAATAAAACTTGTTATGTATGTAGGGTGCGTCAGAGGAGTATAAGAGGTTAAGAGATTAATTAGAATCATAAACCACTTTTGGGATAGTCTTCGTACATGCAATAATGTAAATAATTCATCAGGAAGTAATAAATGGGTACATTACGTTGAAATATCACACCACGACAAATGATATGCACCTGTACAACGTGTTTATTAACCACAAGGGGACTTTAGGGTTTTGTTTTTTTAATCGAACACAAATGTTGTGGAATATATATCAGAATTCTTTTATTTTTAATGAAATATACTTCATAATTACTCGTAATGTACATGTACACAAATGATTACAGTTACAATTACCAAAACTGTACTGACAAGTATACTTTGTTATTAAAAAACAATATTCTGAGCCCTCATCGGATAACTTTTTATAATAGGAATGTATATAAATCAACAGATAGATAGATAGATAGATAGATAGATAAAGTTTTTATTCCAGCTTTTAAGCCACGAAATGGACTTGGATTACAATCCACTAAACCATATACACCCTCGCTCATATCACCATACTCAATATCTTACAAACTAATCTTAAAATTAATAACACTTGATCTACATACATCGAGTCCTTAAACTATCCTTAACATTATCTTTGGTCTCTTCTTATTTTACATTTTTTACTGCCCGCTCCTCTCCTTCCTCTTCTTCTTAATCTTCCTCGCCCACTCTGCTATATACCCTCTCATCCGCCCTCCCCTCTACCAACGTTTCCTCTTTTAATTCTCCTCTTTCTAACTCTTGCCAGTCCTCTATGAGGTGTTTCAGCGTCTCTTTTTCCAATTTGCACAAACCGCACTTCCTGTCCTCCTCTTTCACCCAATATCTGTTTCCCTCTTCTAAATTACCACACCTTATCCTAGCTACGAGTTTTTGATTATCTGTCTTTCCTGTTTTATTTAAATACTCTGGCCGTAGTGCTGTTACAATGTATTCATATCTGCTGTTATATGTTGCCTCTCTTATCTTATTGTATTGCACTTGTTTTTGCACTTGGGTATCTCTCTCCCTTACCTCTTTCATTACATCCCTCTGTCCTTCTCTTAACTCCTCGACTCCCGCTTGACTGTATCCGTTTCTTCTCAAGTAATTCATCCTTTCTTTGATATTTCTTGTCTCCTCCGCCGCTGTCTCCTTTTCCTTCGGGCATTCCTTTAACAGCTCCCTGCCGACTGCATTCCTAATCTTCTCTTCAAATCATAAAGCTTTTATCCCCGTCCTGATTCTTATTTTCTCCCTTTTTGTTTCCTCTAGGATCATGTATATAAATTAACAATTTATGCAATTTTTATCCTACATAAGATACTAATTTAATATACATATATCTTTTACTCTTTCCTTCGATTAATATGCTACTCGATATTTACCATCCACAACGTCTGTTTTGTCTTTTCTTTTTCAAGACATTAAAGGAACCGGTGTATAGAATAAATCCATATTCAATTGAAAACCAAAATTAAATCTGATGAACGCATTTGTTTAATTCGGTATATTAACCGTTTGAGTTCCACGCCAGCGCTCTGGGCTGCGAAGCCCATAATCACAGCAGCGAATCGCGCCGCTCGGCGTTTTTCGACACGGAATATGACAAGCCCTATCGCGCCGCTTGGCAATTTTCGATCGGGAAATAAGAAAGGCCCGTGGCACTCGAACGGTCAAACGTTTAAAAGTAACATTGATCTATAAAAATTAAGATAAACAAACGCAAGAAAGAAAAAACGAAAACAAAATGACTATTGTGTCGTTAAAGCATCCAATCACACTACTCGATAAACTAATGGTATATTCGAGTACTAGAATAGGCTGCTTCGATAAAACGCTGTTATCTAAAACTGCGAAACAGTAAAGCTCGTACTTGTACGCCGATAGCGTACTGAAACTGTAGATTTCGAGAGAAATCTTGCAATGTATTATTTATCCTGCAATATATCAATACTCTCGCCCAATCATCGACCACGAGCATTATTTGTCTCGGCTGTCGTGCAGAAGGTATCACAAACGGGAATGCACGAAAGAAATAAATGCCGCTGATACGCCGGGATATCAGGATAATGTTTCCAGCTGAGGAAGCGCATTCTATCGTTGAAACGTGCCCTGCTGGCCTTCTCCATGGGAAAAACAAATTGCCGCTGCATCGGACCCAAGACACAATTTTTACCTGAGAAAATAGATCATTATTATTGTTTTGTGCGAAATGTCGTGAATTTGTAAACATTAGGAACAGTCTGGAATAAATAATTCTTCTTTTTATATAATATTACATGTAATAGTATTTTATGTATAGAAATATTTAAAATAATGCTTGGAGTGAATACGTGGTTAAACAATTTAGCATTCTTTCAGAGATGACAATAATTTTGCCAATATTAATAGATTAGAGGAAGTAACTGTTTGTTCCAGACCTTTCCTAATTGGTATGAAATTTTATTTCAATTTTCATTAAATGGTACGAGCAACAGAAATGGTTGGCATTCAGAGTAACCTTTTACTCAGGATTTATTTCCTATCCCCAATACCAATAAAATCCTTAAAGAGAGGAAAAAACACCATTGACGGAGTTAAATTTATTCAAGGTAAAATTGATTTAGATTGCCAATTAGGTGGTCGTGGGCTGGAATATCAGTTGACCGAGTTGAATATTAAATGTGATGAGAAAACACTATAATATTTACCGTTATTATTTTATTATTGAACATCAGCCGAGTGAATTGAATGTTAAATGTGTTATCGTTACCTGCGAATCAATCATTGAATAACACATTATTTGTTTCTATTTACAGGAAAATTTTGTCTTGCATTTCGAAGGTAGCAATTTACTAATTCAGTTTTAAATAGAAAATTCGTTTCGCTCAGAAAAGGAAAAGGTCGCAAGGTTACGAACTTTAAATTATAAATAAAGTCGTAACAATGTGAGAATAATTCGACTAATTTGTAATTCTTCCGTATTGCATTTTCATACACTAGTGAAACATTGAGTTAAAAATGAAATAAAGCTGTCTTTTTTATAACTAGATACGAATTCCGGTTTCATGTGGGTGTACTCGACACCGTGGGTGCGCGAAAAAGTTTATTTGGCAAAACACGTGAGTATCGAGCTGAACACGTTTCGTGCTGAGGATCGGCAGTATCAACATTCTCAGGTTGTTTTCATGTGTCCACTCGTTCGGCAAATACACGGTTTCCTAGTTTTTTAAAAAACGATCCTGCCACAAAATATTACTGAAACTATATATTTCGTGTCTACTTTTTCATAAAACGATAAACATTCAATTTTCAGATTGAATCATATGCATATTCTTATTCAAAATATATAAAACCAGATATATTCCATTTGTGTTCGATTAAAAAACACGATTCTGCAGCTCCTTCGGGAAACCATTTTAAATTTAAAAAGTAATAATTTAATCATACTCTAGATATCGAGGTATCAGATAAAAATGTACTCTGCGAGAAATTTAGCAAATGTTCATTTTCAAAACAAATTGTAAATTAGCAGGGTGATACGATAAACAAATAAAAACTGGTGTGTCGATCAAAAGGGTTAATGTTTGTGAAACATTGTTTGAAAAGTTTATTATTGCAATATCTCTCAAGATAGATCTAAATTTGCTTCGTTTCCACGAAAGCAGAGGAGTATAATCGATTTTCACAGGCGACCAGTGTTATCGATCCTCGCCAACGAGATGGCTATAAAAGCGTTCGATGAGTCAGACGTGAACTCATACACGTTGTAACGTGAGCGCAATTGTAATGTAAATAACGAGTCACGTTTTACGTAACCTCGTGGAAGATTGTGCACGTCTGGCTATAAATTGCGTTAAATTGTAACGAGTTAAGGCCAGTGGTGTAACTCCGTTTGGCTTAATCCCAACGATTGTAAGAGCCGGCCGGCGCGTATATGCAGCCAACGAGAAAAAAAAAACAAATTGTAATTGATCTGCGCTATCTTTTGTGATTCGAAGCGAACCACGGACGATTTATCTCGGCGTTTCTTATGCGTTGTACACTTGGCTCTTCCTCGTTTGCGCTTTCGTCGCGATAAACGGGGGCCAATGACGTTCGAGGTTCCCGGGATGCTTTTGCCTCCAGGTTTGATCGATTGTTTTCCTCGACAAAAGGACCAGCGATGGGAAAGATCGACCAAATCAAAGAATAATCCTTCAAGGAGATATAACAGTATTTTCTTTAAGGGTGCGCAGGAGCCAGAGCCAAACTTCAAGTTGACTTCGGCGACAGTTGCGGAAAAAGTAGGAAACTCCGGGACAAGGACAGAGAGGGCGATACAACAATTGCAGGAGAGACGAGGATAGGGCGATTAGGCTAGCATGATTTTTTTCTGGGATATTGACGCAAAGAAGCAATATTTTCTAATAATTCTGGTTTTAATATATTCGTTACACTTTGGGGGATGCGACTCCAAGGCCTGATGTTGCAATTTCGGCCTTAAAACTTTATAAAAAAATAGAATGAAGATAGCAATCATACTTTTATTGCTTATAAAGTTTTAAGGCCGAAATTGCAACACCAGGCCTTGGAGTCGCATCCCCCAAAGTGTAACGAATATATTAAAACCAGAATTATTAGAAGATATTGCTTCTTTGCTTCAATATCCTGGAAAAAAATCATGCTAGCCTAATCGCCCTGTCCTCGTCTCTCCTGCAATTGTTGTATCGTCCTCTCTGTCCTTGTCCCGGAGTTTCCTACTTTTTCCGCAACTGTCGCCGAAGTCAACTTGAAGTTTGGCTCTGGCTCCTGCGCACCCTTAAGTTCGTATTTTTCTTGAATATTTATTTTTATTTTTTATTCTTTCATGAGTATCACTTTGTATTCCTCTTAGTATTTATTTCTACTTATTTTTCTGTATGTTTTATATCATATATTTTTTTAGTAACTATTTTTATTTCGTACCTTTGCAATGTATTTATATATTAAAGTATTTGCTTCTATTGATAACAATAATCCTTCATGCATTACTCGAACTTTTTAAGTAAACACAAACTTCACCCATATCTGCCACCAATAATTTATATTCAGACACTCGATTCAAGGTGAACCTCGGTGTTCCCACAAGTTTTGCGTAACTAACATAATAATCGACTTGCAGGAGCCATCAGAAGAAGCTCCCTGGATCCTGGCACAAGGAGATTCTCTTTGGGCACACCTGCCATACCTCATCGAGCCTCTGATGCCTGTTTAGATCCTGTGCACGCCGCCATTCTCTTCAGGGACGCTAGAGGGGTGAGTTTCGTTGTTCTTCTTCAAATTTTAATTAGTTCTAAAGAAATTTAATACGCTAGTTCGCGTCGGCATTGACTTTTTATCCCGAAGTCAGAGGTATGACGTGTTATCATTAATTTTCTGCCGAAGAAATATGCACTGATATCGGACAGCGCCATGTGTTGACCTCTTTCTGTTTCGTCACGTTTTAATGATCGCCAGTCGATATGGTCGGGAATAATAATGATGGAGTAAACAAAACTAGTTTCTTCGAGGATGAATCATTATTTAGTCTTTGAGAGATTATCGAAAGTAGTTTGTTAAGAATTCTGGTATAGGTGGGATTACTTTGGATGACTTGTTACGGGAAAAGTGTATTTAAATTACACATAATTAAAATACGATATTGTATTTTAATTACAATGTATTTAATTGTAAAAATCAAAAATACTAATTGTAAGTTACAAGTGTAATTGAGTTAAATACCAGTCAGTCAGTCAGTCAGTCAGTCAGTCAGTCAGTCAATTACATTACTTCGCTATAAAAATTTGATCGTAATCTTCATTTTTTTGGTTACTTTATATTTAACATAATTTTTCTTTAATTTTCTAATATCTAAAAGGAACAAAATCTCGTCACTTTTATTTCGTACTTTGCAATTTCATTAAGTGGTTAATTTCAAGATAAGGATGTGATTATTTGAGTATGTATATTGTTTTTGAGTGTGTATGTTATTTTAGTTTCACATCCTGAAGAGGGTCAGCATGTGGCCGAGACGTTGAGAAATTGAGTAAATAAACTCTTTCTGGAAAGCGTTCCAAAAACCAACATTCTCACCTACACCAAAATTCTTTATAATTCCAGAGAGGATAAAAATATACCTATTACTTTTCCAAAGTATTTTATATGTTTCGTATAACGTTCTCGATTCAAATTTCAAAACTCTGTAATATAATACACGTAAAATAAATTTTATAAGGCACGTAAACGTACAATATAAACAGAATAAAAAAGAATAACAAAGTTAATATTTAGGGCTAATAGGTTTAGAATGTGCGCATGTGTTTTTATGTAGTTTTTATTTCACATGTGATATTAATTCAATATATTTGTAATATGCAAGCATTATTTTTGTTAGTCCTTCTCAGGAAAGTTGTTTCTTAAATTTTTTAAATATTCTTACATTTTATTTAACCTTTTACTATTTCTATTTTCTTCTCGGATTATAAGTTTACTTATTCGATAAAATTTATTTTGTATTCCAGTTGAACAATGATTTATCTTTAAAGAATTCTCGACATAATTTCGTTGAAGAAACTCGAATGAAATTCTTGAGAAATACGGTTCTCGATAAACTCAGTAGTGTTCAACTCGGAAGACAACAACTTCAGCTAACTCTTAGCATAATCTCTGTAGACGGCAGTCGTTCCACTGCCGTATCGATTGTCCTGCTTTCAGAATTGCCTTGGTTATCTCGAGCTTTTAACTTCCGCAATCCACCGACGCCTACTATGTTTATATTTTTCTTCGAACGCAACAATTCGTTTTTCAATAGATTAAGAGAATACCTATTTTTTAAGTAAAATAACACTTTTTTTTTTTTTAAATATATCCAATACAACATTGTGCTAAAATCAGAAAATCTGGAACGCAAAGTTTTAAGGGAATGCTCTTTTTTCTCTGTAAAAAAAATAGAACATTTACTAGAAAAAAATTATAAAAATTGCCTCGAAACTGGCTCTCCCGAAAAGGGTAATTTCTTTAACAAAATAAAATCCATGTAAAGAACTAAGATGAACACGTACCTCACGCCATGCCAGATTCCCTTTCTATTTGAGGGATAAAGAACATACAGTGGCGGCCATATACTTACGTACAGTTAAATTAAATATTATTTCCTGTACACTTATACATTAAACAAGTATATGAAAATCAGTTACATTTTTATAAGTTTACAATATACGTAATAAGATGACAAAATAGTTTTCCTTAATTGACTATAATTAAAAAGTTTTTTATATTTTTATAACGAAGCGCCAAGTTTTCTGCGGACACATACTTAAGTACATATCGAAACGCCTATATTTTCACATGTTTTTTTAACTCATAATTATAATATTGTTAATATTTCGTATGTAAACCCTTATTTTTGATAACTGCAACACACCTTTGCGGCATGGATTCGATAAGTCGAGCACATCTGCTAGCAGGTATCGAATTCCATGCTTCCTGTACAATAGTGTACAATTCATCCATATTTTTTGGCTTTTGTTTTTGTATATGTTTGTCGACATCGATCCACAGCATCTCTATTGGATTCAGATCCGGAGATAGTGCTGGCCACTTCATTACGCGAATATTATTGTCACTCAAAAATGTCTTGACGACTTTTGCTGAGTGTTTCGGATCATTATCCGCTTGATAGATATATTCCTTTGGCATGTATTCTTCGGCGAATGGAAGCAATACATTTCTTACAATATCCAAGTACACGTATCGGTCCATGATTCCAGTTATCCAATGAATAGAACCTGTACCTTTTACTGTCATAGTCCCCCAAACGAGTACCGACCCACCACCACCTTTTACAGTCGGTTTAATGCAATTGTTATTAAATTCTTCTCCTTTGCGATGTCTCACGTATACTTTGCCATCAGATCGAAATCGATTAAATTTTGATTCATCTGTAAAGATTACTCTGGACCATTGCTGGGACGTCCAGTTTAAATGTCCTTTCGCGAAAGCAATCCTAGCCCGACAATTTTTTTCTGAAATGAACGGTTTCTTTCTGGCAACGCGTCCGCATAATTGAAACTCATTAAGTCTTCGCTGGACAGTTTTAATACTTATTTCTTCATGAAGATCTGTTGATATTTCATCGTGGATGGCAACTGCAGTTTTGAATCTGTCCGCTTCAGATAATCGGTGAATCTTGCGATCAGTTCTTTGATCAGTTTTTCGAGGTCTTGCTTTACGAGAAACATTGTCTGGTGTTCCACGATGCTTAATATGTGTATACCTTGATGACAAGCCATAACGGATATTTCTAATTTAGCGGAAATCTTTCGGTAGGACATTCCATCCTTCCGAAGCTGTTGTACTAGTCACCGTTGTTCTGACGTGATATTTCTTCCTTTACTCATCACAGCACTATTGTAATACGTCTAACTGTAGACACTGCTGAGTAGATACTGGTAAATATTGTTTAAATTTGGCTTAGCTGTGCGAAACAAAAGCGTACGAACGTAGTTGTCCGATACAAAACCGACAGACCAGAACAAAACATTTACAAAGTACATATTTTCTTGAAATAAGTAAAAGTTCTACTGCAGATATGTACATCAAGGTTCAATACTCTTAGAAATAAATATAAATAATTATAAATTGTTGATACGACTATCTGAGCTCTGTAGAAATAACTCAGGTTTTAAAGTTAAAATATAAAGTGTACGTAAGTATATGGCCGTCAGTGTAAATAGAAGAAAGCTCAATAAATGGAGCGATTGAGTGGCCAAACGGTGGGGCTGGGTCAACACCTCGTTTGCTTTGAGGGACTAGTTGATTTTAACGCAACTATAAATATTGATGAAGCTCAGACTGCTCAGGCTGTTCATGTTAGTCCCGTGTTTTTGCTAATCTACTCTTATACACCTCATGCATGGCGCCTCGTGTATCTTCAAACGCAAAGTACGCTGACGTATTCGTACACGTTGCTCGCAGCGGCGACAGTGGAGTCGCTGTGATTATCACCGGTGATTCCAAAACCGCAGCATTCCTTATCGCTCCGAGTTTCACAACATTCGTTGCGACAACGCTATTACGTTGTAGGTGGAACTCCGCCAGTTCAAGCGACATCCTTACTCTTTATTCTCTGGCAGATTAGTGCAGCGTTAAAAAGAATTAGTATTTCTGCTGGCCTTTCATTTCATTTCATTTCATTTATTTAATTTCATTTCCTTTTTCATAAATTTAGAATATATCGAATTTTTTTCTAAATCTGACTTCAGATCAGTGAATATTGGATCTCCAGGTATCGATTTTCATCAAAATCAGTCAGAAAAATTCGCTGCGCAATTGATCCTTAAATCTTCTACCTCAAACTGTCTACCAACCAAAACGGTAGATAATTTAATTATAAAACATACGTACAACACTCACGTATTACATAACGCGCAATGCAAAAATGCGAATGTGTCTGATTGGTAACAGTGAAATCTCCTAGACCCAGATTATAGTATAGATTATGCCGCGGAGATATAATGTAATCTGTAGTATATATCATAGTCAAGTAGATCATTTTGTCGTCAATCAGAGCCGCTAGCCAATTTTCCATCTCTGCATAGTACACATAACACATTGCGTAAAAGAGTACAATGTTATGCGAACGTTACAATGGAGTATATTTTTCAAACAATTGCATCATTAGCGTGTATATACGCGCATTTTTCCAGGCCATTATCACCAGAGCGTATACGTACGTGCGATCATATTGTGAGCGAATAGCGATGGTTGAGAGCAGGATAACGTAGTTAAAATAAATATGGAGCGAGTTAACAAGGAATCCCTTCGATGTTCGCCGACACGAGAACATTTTAGTAAATTGGATGCTTTCTTATAGGGACATTTATTAGGTTGTCCCGAAAGTTTCTTTCGTTTTATTAATAATTAATGTATACACAATATTTTATGTTTTATGTTACATTACTGAATCGTGTACGATTCATTTCGCTTCATTACTGTTACAGCATCAATGTCTAAGAAATTAGATTGTCTATTTATATAAACACTGCCACAGAAAATAATTGAATGCAACTCACGAAAGAAACTTTTGGAACAACCTAATAGTTACTCTAGAGCTTCGGTTACTTAGTTTTTAGCTTGTATATTAAATAATTCATGGACATATGAATAACCAAACCCTCAGGGGCTGTAGCTAGGTTTAATTGTAGCTACAGTACGGGTATAGCGAACCCGAGGTACCCGAGCTTTAAGGAAGCCAGTTGACCCCAACAGAATACTGG